CGCGCCAGTGCAGCCACTACTGCGGATATTCCCGCGCCTACTTGCTGCGGGGTCAGCAGGCCGCGCCGAGCTGTAGTAAGAGGTGAAGTATTAGGCGGGGTGTGAATAGGGGCGGGGCTAGAAATGGGGGCGGAGCTTGAAGCTCATTCAGTTCAATACGTCTTCAGTGGTTTCTTTTCTAATTAAAACAAGACGCTCGCGGCTCGTCCCGCGCTAGTGCCGCCACTACTGCGGATATGCCCGCGCCTACTTGCTGCGGAGTTAGCAGGCCGCGCCGAGCTGTGGGTGAGAGGTGAGGTTTATACCTTACCGCCTTATGGCGGAGTGTGAATAGGGGCGGGGCTAGAAATGGGGGCGGAACTTGAAGCTACATCGCTCTCTCATTCAATTCAATAAGTCTTCAGTGGTCCAATGACCCCAAGTTACCCATCCTTATCGCTCGCGCGTAATTATATTGCTGTCGCCACTGTGCGACGGGCACTCGCAGTGAGTGTGCGAGCGCAACAGCAACATAATTACGCGCGAGCAATAAGGATGGGTAGCTTGGGGTCATTGGACAAAATTCTACGTGCTCACGGACGAGGCTTTAATTAAATCAAGATGCCCGCGGCTCGTCCCGCGCCAGTGCGGCCACTACTGCGGATATTCCCGCGCCTACTTGCTGCGGGGTCAGCAGGCCGCGCCGAGCTGCGGATGAGAGATGAGGTTTATACCTTACCGCCTTATGGCGGAGTGTGAATAGGGGCGGGGCTAGAAATGGGGGCGGAGCTTGAAGCTACATCGCTCTCTCATTCAATTCAATAAGTCTTCAGCGGTTTCTTTTCTAAAGCCTGGTCCGTGAGCACGTAGAATTTTGTCCAATGACCCCAAGCTACCCATCCTTATTGCTCGCGCGTAATTATGTTGCTGTCGCGCTCGCACACTCACTGCGAGCGCCCGTCGCACAGTGGCGACAGCAGCTTGGGGTCATTGGACAAAATTCTACGTGCTCACGGACGAGGCTTTAATTAAATCAAGACGCCCGCGGCTCGTCCCGCGCCAGTGCGGCCACTACTGCGGATATGCCCGCGCCTACTTGCTGCGGGGTTAGCAGCCCGCGCCGAGCTGTGGTGAGAAATGAGATATAAAGGCGAAGTGTAAATAGGGGCTAGAATATGGGCGGGGCTAGAGATGGGGGCGGAGCCCAAGCTCCGCCCCCATCTCTAGCGATCAGAGCGATAAGAGGTCTTGAGAGAGCGTTGTAGCTCCAAAGCTACAACGCTCTCTCATTTAGTTCAATACGTCTTCAGCGGTTTCTTTTCTTATTAAAATATATGATGATATCAAGTGATTTTATGGTGGTAAAGGACCAGTAACGTTTAGCTAAAGTCAAACATTGCAGACGAGTTGCATTGCATAATCAAATGTCGTTAAGTCTTCGACGAAAGTCACTCAGCAGAAATATTGCGACACCAAACATTACTTAACCTTTTCTTTATTTTTTTCTAGTGTTTATAACATCAATTCAACCGACCACGAAATGATAAATCCTTATAAAAACAAAGTTCAAGTTCAATTAATTTATAGTCCCACAAACAATAGGGTGCAGAGAAGGAGCTAGAATTGTAAATTAATTTATCTCACCTAGCTCAGCAAGCGCCATGCACCCGCCGTGCCAAGCAGCCTCTCGCTCATTCTCCGCGAACAACCCTAGCACGCACTCGCACACATCGGCCGCTGCTAACGCGGGTAGTCGCGCGCCGATGCGGCCCACGCCTTTGGCCGCCGACCACCGGACCACTGTGTCGTCGTCGCGAAGGGAACATAGAAGGAGCTCCACTACGTCTTCCACCTGAAGGATAACAACAAAGTCGTAAGCACTGGGAGCATAGAATCAGCGTGACTGCATTTACACCGATATAATATGAAACTAGCTTTCCGCCCGCGGCTTCGCCCGCGTGGAATTTTGTCTGTCACAGAAAAACTTTATCGCGCGCGTCCCTGTTTCAAAAACCGGGATAAAAACTATCCTATGTTCTTTCCCGGGACTCAAACTATCTCTATGCCAAATTTCATCAAAATCGGTTGCGAGGTTTAAGCGGGAAAGCGTAACAGACAGACAGACAGACAGACAGAGTTACTTTCGCATTTATAATATTAGTTGGGAAGTTGGGATAGTAGCTAGTATTTTACAGTCAAAAGGTCTCGGAAAGAGCCTGGATGCGGGCAGCGCAGGACCGTGCATTGTGGAAAACCTTGGAGGAGGCCTTTGTCCAGCAGTGGACGTTATTTGGCTGAAACGAACGAACGAACGATTTTACAGTGCTGCTCGCATCCAGGTACTTCCCACGGCCTTCACCAGGTCGTCTGTTTACCTAGTCAGGGGGCGTTATGAAAATCCTTGGGGGAGACCTTTGTCCAGCAGTGGACAGTTGTTTTTCTTATAACTGGATGAAGTTAGACACTGTCCAGTCATAGAACCTGATTTTTTTTAGATTTGAGTTTTGATATTGTAATGTAAATAACTTTCAGTTCCAAGTTTGTTTATTTACAAGTATAGAACATTGGATGCTTAATTTCTATAGAAAAATTTTACAGGTTAGATTAGTAACTAAAATTAAGTACCTCTTGAGGAATATCCTGGTCGTCATCATCAGGGGGCGCGGTGATCGGCTCAGTGTCGCCGGCAGCTGCCACTCCGCCCAACGTCACGGCCAGCGAGCGGGAACCTCGTGTGTAGCGCCAAGACGCCACACGGGGCCGTAGGAATGTTAGACCTGATTTTAAATGCACTTACTCTTAGGCCTGGTTCAGACACAGTGAAAATCGCACAATTGCTGGGCAATACTCGTACATTTGCATCAAACCGTAACCACACAGTAATGGCTTCAGTACACAGAAAAAGCGCGATTATCGCATGTGTCTGAACTAGGCCTTAAAGTCACTTTTTCATCTTCAAAACTTGCCCAGTCCCTCAACTAAACACAGAATACATAAGCAGAAAGTATTTGAACTTTACATATTTCTTATATATTATTGCATAGCCAGCATTGATTCCATAATCTTTTACTTGTGATAAGTCTTCTGGATTAAATTTTATATTATTTTTATCAGATAAAAAGCTTGACTTACCTATTCTTTGCACAATTTTGACTCCATATTTTCTGACAAGCATAGCATTATGTTGCTTGTAGTTTTGAGTTGTTACCCACTCAAGTAGTTTACTTGCGAATGGCAGAAGGTCATCCCTCTTGCCATGTTTGAGCACAGCTGCCACGGCAGCCAGGACTCCATAATGAATGGTCTCCTCCTCTTTCAAATTGGAATGCAACTCACAGGCCCAGTCAAAAAATGCACCCATATACAACTCCTTTACATCTGACCTGTAACAAAATAGATTGGTAAAATAATACTACTGCTATGGTTCTTGCAACTCGAGTGAGCTATACTTGTGTGTATGTGTATATGCAAAACAAACAGTAGCGAGCCACCACACATGTAAGTAAAGCTCACTCGCCTACATGAATTGCAACAACTATACTTATAGGGCACATTCATCAACAGAGAAAAAAAAATGTCACAAAGGTCACCCACTCAGTATCAACCTGGCATGTGTACTGCCAAGACACTGACTTTCAGTGGGTGCCTTGTTTGTATGCTGGTAAAGTTTAATATTGTACATTATTATGCAATGCAATAAATGATTTGATTTGATTTGATTTTATTTATCTGAGTGCCTATGAGTTATTTTACCTTATAAGAAACTTAGAAGCTAAATAAGCACTGGCTTCAGCACATGAATCTCTGCTTAGGGCATAAGTCTTGCATATGTTAAAAATCCTTTCCATTACTGTAAGTTTTTTGGATGTTCCTGCATCTGTAAAAGATGTATAAAATTAAAACAATAAATTGGTAATACACAGTAAAACTTCAATATAGTGAAAATTACACATAGCAGATTCTAGATAAAAACATTGTTTATTTTCAAAAGTACATAAATATAAACATAGGAATGTCACATACCAGGCTGTCCAGGAGCAAATCCATCTAGTCTGCTCATGTGGAATGGGATGATAACCACAATAGAGAGCCATAGCAGGAGCACAAATCTGCTCCGCCAAGTCTCTTTGTCGTTTGGATCTTGCGCCTCCAAGTATGTCAATACTGTTAGCAAGTCTGAAACCTAAGATCTCAAATGTAGTCCATCACTTTAAGCTAAACTACACCAAAACTAATGTTAAAGATGAATAATATTACTCACCTCATGAGGCAAATGTCTAATCACCACTTTATATCCTCTAACTCTTATAATCTGGTACATATAGTTAAAAGTCGCATGTTTCAGCTCAAACGGAGAGTCTTTATCTTTGATCAGTTCCAAAAACTTGCCCAAAATCTTATCCAAGTGGGGATCAAGTAGATGGGGCTGTTCATAATACTGTTTCAGTATAGTGTACAATTTATCGTATTCCACTTCTACTGCTGGCGTATTATAGATATTTTTCAGATTATCTATCATGTTTATTACATCTTCTACTTCGGAAAAGTGCTCTAGAGCACACCCGAGACCAATATTATCACATTCGTCATCCCGGTTCATGTCGGCATCTAGCCCGACCATTTTGACGATTATTTCCTCTTATCCACGCCAGGAATTATTATAGGAAATTCAAAACACCTTTATTTATGAGTAAAAGATTAACCGTACTCAAGAAAGCATGCAAAAATAGCTTGTGAAAGACTTTTTAACAGAAAACAAAGAATAAATCTGAGTGGAAACCACACAAACAAAATTCTTTTTTTGACAGTGACAACTGACAGTAATGACCGAATGACAAGACAAATGACATTCTGTACTGGGGGTCTATTCTAATATCTCATACATGGTCCTAGAATATCACTTAGTATTGTTATCTGTGACTGTGATATTACATAAAATACTTCGTTCCATATAATAGTACGGATGGCAACTGGCAACACTTTCAATCAAACGTTCAAATAAAACAGATGTTGGCTTGCTTTGTTATGTCATTCACCTGTCAAAAAACAAGAAATCGTGGATGGATTTTGCATTTGCGTTTGTGCGTATATTTTAAGTAAATGTAGTAATAACATTACATAAAAACTTTCAGGATGAGTACCCGTAAGTAACAGTTTAGTTAATAAAAAGTTATAACGGAAATTCAGAGGCTTGTGTCCTTTAAATACGCTGTTCTGTCTTTCAGAGGGTCGAGGGCCTGCCAAGAGAAAAGTAAAGCCGGTGGAGCCTCAGTCTCTTCTTGATTTTGATCTAGCAGAAGGTGAAAGTTCTGATGACTCTGACTTCAGGATTGAAGACCACCCGGAGGAGAGTGACGATTATTCTATAAACAGTGACGATGACGACAAAAGTAAGTCTATTGTGCATTATAATTTACTGAACCATATTCGGTATTGATTTAACTCTTCTTCATACTTTTGCAAAGCCTATAAATTCAAAATAAAGTTCCTTCTTGCTACTGACACGAAAACAGTATGTAATCTTTTACTAGGTAAAAGGACTTTCTAAAAAAAAATCAATAATGAGCAACTAATTTGTTATTAATTTTATCTTAATGACTTCCTGATTTAAGTAAACATTTTCTATACATAATGCCTCTTTTAGTTTTATATTTATTGATTATTTTACAACTTCCAGAAAAAGATGGAAGTTCTTCAGAAGAGCAGTCTGAATCAGACGGAGAAGATGGACCTAAAAGTTCCAATAATAAAATTGGAGAAGAAATCTCAGTCACGGACATTCTTGAGAAGGCAAAACAACAGGAATTCAAGGTACCTATCCATTATTTAATTATATTTTCAATTAAATTAATTTTATTTCTTTAAAAAATACTTGTATAACTAAACTTAAAAAAATATAGTTTTTTGGCCTTACATGCTTGCAAGTGGTATTTTTATTTATTTTAATTAATATACTGTATTTACTCCACAGATTCCATTTGAATTGGCAAATATGCTGATTTGTGCTGGATGCCTTGGTTCAAGAAGTGACTGCTACAATGAGATTGTTGAATGTGACGGCTGTGGAGTGACGGTACATGAAGGCAAGATAAATCTTTATTATCAGTTCTTGTATGTTTCAATTGTGGAATATTAAATTCCAGGGTGGATTTTTGTATGCACCCTAAAGGTAGAGGGGTCTTAAAATATCTTTTAAGAGACTGTTAATTTAATCACATAGCTTTTGATCAATCTGTTTTTCATGATCTTATAATGGAAGTTATTTTTGTTACTGGGTACCAGTTAAAGTAATGGTGTCTAATATCTTTTCCATAGGCTGCTATGGTGTGTCGGATGTTACCAGTGAATCTAGCACGGTCAGCTCAGCGTCAACGGAACCATGGTTTTGTGAGGCTTGTAAAGCCGGTGTCACTGATCCCAGCTGCGAGTTGTGTCCGAATAAAGGTATGTTTTTGAGGCTTTAAAATAACTTTGTAACTTACTATATGATACAATTCTAAATTGGTGTTTCAATTCTTTTGATAGGTGGTATTTTCAAGGAGACAGAAGTTGGAGCTTGGGTTCATCTAGTATGTGCACTCTATGTGCCAGGAGTTGCCTTCTCAGAGGTATAGTATACAATTATTGATAGATAGATCATAGATCAGAAATTATAAACAATGATTTGGTTTTTTAAAATCATCTGGCATCTGGTGAGACTTCTGTCATTAATTTATTTATATGCTGAATGTTATTCACATTTACTCTATACTATTCACAGGTGGAGCGTCTGTCAGGAGTGACGCTGTTCGAAATGGCGTATTCCCGGTGGGGCGCGCGCTCGTGTGCCCTCTGCGAAGACACGACACTCGCCCGTACCGGCGTCTGCGTTGGTTGCGACGCCGGCCTTTGCAAGACGTTCTTCCATGTCACATGGTAAAGAATCGCTATTAGTTGTCTAGTACCCATAGTACAAGCTTTGCCTAGTTTGGGATTAGAAGCGAAGTGTAAAATGTCCAAGGATATTTATTTAATTATTTTATTTATTATTAGAAGTTTAAAGAATCCATTTTCTGAGTATTGTACACAAGAGCAAAAAAATAGAAATGAAAAGTTCTCAACAGGTTTCAGAAACAGGACATGTATTTTGACAAAGTTCTTTGCATTTGTTTCTTTCCATGGAGCATATAAAATACAGGGTGACTGGAACTGAACCCGCCATAGCTAATACGCGTATAGAGGAGGTCATTTGCTAATTATTGAACCTTACTTTCTATGACTAAAGTTTTATAGTTTAGGAGATATGTCAATTTTTATACTTTTTTCAGATTTTTCCGAAATTTGACCTAAAAACTGCTTCAATTTTTTTTTCTCGCGTGATTTCAACAGGTTTTTTATTTGATATTAATATCGAATATGTCTTTATTCAAATAAAATAAAGGACATCATCCACGTTTCATATATTTTTGGTCCAAAATCAAAAGTGCCGGCCAACAAAAAAAAGTGCTGTATTCTGACAGAATACGGTCTGCCTTAGCATTTGTTACTATGGCACCAAAGCCGTAGCTCCGCTGTGCGTCGAGTATTTGAGATCTAAAAGTCATCGATTATTCATACATTTTTGTTCAAAATCAAAAGTGTCGGCCAATAAAAAAAAAGTGCTGTGTTCTGACAGAATACGTCCGCCTTAGCATTTGTTACTATGGCACCAAAGCTGTAGCACCACTATGCGTCGAGTATTTGAGATCTAAAATTCATCGACGATTCATACTTTTTTTGTTCAAATCAAAGGTGCCGGCCAAAAACAAAAAGTGCTGTCTTCTGACAGAATACGTCCGCCTTAGCATTTGTCACTATGGCACCAAAGCTGTAGCACCACTGTGCGTCGAGTATTTGANTGAAAAAAGTATAAAAATTGATATATCTCCTAAACTATAAAACTTTAGCCATAGAAAGTTAGGTTCAATAATTAGCAAATGACCTCCTCTATACGCCTATTAGCTATGGCGGGTTCAGTTCCAGTCACCCTGTATACTTAGGTACTAATGTGATCATGAATTTTAAAATATTCCAATAGCGTTTCAATAAAAATAAAATAAAAAACTCGTAACACAGGATCTTCGGAGCCTAGCACGAGCACCATCTCTCCACAACTTCATGTAAATTGTTTTACAGGGTGGCCCAGAAGAAAATTAACTTTTGAAAATTCAAGGAAACGAACACTGTACATTTTTGTAGAACTTAAGCTATTGCAATTTAAAGGAAATTTAGTGCAATTTATTTTAAAATTTACTATCTTTTATAAGTTTTATCGTACATGTGATTCCCTTGACGTTTGCAACATTCTGTCAACATACATCAACATTTTCGAAAACTTCCGTAAGCGTTCCTGCACACGACGCCGCTACCGCGCCGCCGCCGCGCCGTCGCTGCGCCATCGCTACGCCTTTGCACTGTTTATAGAGCCCTTAGAGTTGCCTCAAAATGAATTCAGGATGGATGAATGCTGCAGAGTTTTTGGATTATTAGAGTATACTCTGCTCATAAGGTAACCCCACAAAAAGAAGTCTGCTGGAATGAGATTAGCGCTTCTTAGAGGCAGTGAGATTTCACCACTGCTTAATTGGTTTGTTGCATTGAAAGGATGATTAATTTTTGAGAGCGCTATACTGGTAGGCAGAAAAGCTTTTTGATTTCAAAGCTGCAAGATTCGCAAGGTTATGACCGGAGCACGTGGTTTCATCAAGATGGGGCTACGTGTCACACTTCAACTGAGAGCATTTAGATGGTAAGAGACATGTTCCCACAAAAAAATAATTTCAGGCAGGGGTGAAATCTCCTGGCCACCAGGAAGCACGGACCTCACTCCAGAAAATTATTTTTTGTGGTGTTACATTAATACAAAATATAGGTACTTTATAGATAATAGAGAATACTTTTATAATCCAACAACCATGCAGCAACTGAAGCTGAGCATTCGGCAAAAAAAATAATTGAAAATAGGTTTCGAGGTACTCGTTATGCTTTGGCTCGAAGTTTTTTGTTGTGTACCATCACATTATTTTTATTTTTGGTTAATGTTGATAGTTACCTTGATTTTGTTTGTAATTAGTTGTACACTCATTATGTTTAAATAATTTAAATTTAAATGTTTCTCAGGAAGTGAATTATTGTTAATTCTTATGAGAAATAAAGTTCTTAAACCGTAGGTAATTCTGACGAACGCGTTCCAAGATTTTGATTTATGTTGATCGAATGTTGTAAGCGTCAAGGAAATCTCCTGGGCGATGTAATTTAATAAAGGTAAATTTAAAAATAAATTGTATTAAATTTTCTTTAAATTGCAATAGTTAAAGTTCTATAAAAATGTAGGTACAGTTTTCGTTTCCTTGAATTTTCAAAAGTTAATTTTCTTCTGGGCTACCCTGTATTACCAAGCCTTGGACTTTCTGTTTACCTTTACTTAAGTAGTTCTTAGCTAATTACTTATACTGGATATAGCACTTCGCATGGCTCTGTGAACACAGACAAATTGTTCAGATGAGAAGCTTTTCTTGCTTAAAACGGGTTAAAAACTATCTACGATCTACTTTAAGTCAAGAAAAGCTTAATGCTTTATCTCTTTTGTGCATAGAGTCAGAACTTTTGCAAATTTAAAATCTCGCATGAAAATAATGTAAAACTTATTTGATCTCATTGTCTGTCACCATTAACTGGATTGTTAACATGTTATATTTTAATAGAAATTGTTTGTATTGTTTTTAAACTGTTATGTCCAATAAAAAATATTTACCAAAAACAATGTTTGCTGACCACACATTATTTTGTCTGTGTTCATTATACAGTGTGAGTCACGTTAAAGTGTACATATGAAAATAGATGAAACTAGACCTATTTTTATCGACAAAAAAGCCCCTACTGACTTTCAAAAGTCAGTAGGGGCGGCAAAAATTGAATGGCCTACTAGCGGCTAATTTGTAAATCCGCCACTGTCTATACGCGTATTAGCTATGGCGGGTTCAGTTCCAGTCACCCTGTATAGTTTACAACATTTGAACATTTTGGTGATAAAAATACCTAAAAATTAAAAAAGTGTCCTAATATACAATCATAGTATTACAACTATCAAAAAACTCATTTTAGTGGTCAACGTGAAGGTTTGCTAGCAGAGGCGCATACCGAAGAGGCCGAGCAAGCAGATCCGTTCTACGCTCACTGTCGCTTGCACTCTGATAAAGCCCTAGTCAAGAAAAGAAAACGAAATTGGCTCGCTTTACAGCTGAGGACCGAAAAGCGGTAAGTTACCTTCTTGTCTTGTCGACAACAAACTTAGACAGTGTCAGCCCAAAACTGCTACAAGAGTGGCATTGTCAGTAGAATTAAGTTGCCTTATTTACATTGAAATGAAAGTGTTTTCTCCGTATTCAATTACCTACTTCAATGTATTTATTTGGTTCAAGAAAACTGGAGCTACAAACAAATATAACAACAGATGAGAAACTCCGAATACAAAGGAAGCTTGTCAAGTACAGGAGAAAGTACTTGCAACAGAAGGAGAATAGGAATCCACCATGGGGTAATATATTAATTTATTTATTATTTTAATGTATGTTATGTCTTTCAATGTGTTTCTGACTACGTAAGTCAGTTTATTTGAATTTTAAATTGTCGCTGATATCTGTTTTTCAAATTATTTTTTTCGTATTCGAACACCTTGGAATATAATTAAAGTGTATCAATAACGATGTAAACGCTTTTTATTTTTCTTCTAGTGCCAACTCAAAAAATGGCTCGGATGCTGTATAGCAGCGCATCTGCCATGAGAAAGTTCGCGCGTAAGGCAGAGTGCATGGGCATAGATACGCATGCCCTTGAATTTCAAGATGCTCAGGTAACATGCATTATTTTCCTAATGAATGTTCACTCCACATTTGAAATTTAGGTTTTTTTTTGTAATTCTTTTTGATATTTTTTAGATGGCAGCACTAAAAGATGTTTCTCGTCGCTGGCACGTCCCACCGGCTTTTTCTGTGGAATTTGTCGGATATTACCTAGAGAGAAACTCCCGCGTCACTTCACTGCGAAAATCACTTGAGAGGCTGACAAAAGAAAATGAAAAATTGTTGAGTGAAGATGAGAATCTCAGGACGGAGTACGATGAGGTAATCCTGTCTGAAAGTGGAATTAACTTTCTACAAACAGCTATGTAATAAACAGTCCAATTTCTTCATATTCAAGTTCATAAGAATAAACATAAACAGTAAACACTGACATTGTAGGTTCAATAGGTTTTAGCTATTTTGCAACAAAAATATAGATTCATATTCTAAACTTAAAATTCTAATTACATTACAAGCGTGTTTCTGATACACCCTGCATCATTTCTCATAATATTTTTTTGTTAATTATTATTCAAAGGCATCAAAAGAGAACACGGACGCTCTCGCCGAGTTGACGTCAACGAAGCAAGCTCTCCAGAAGATATACGATGTGATCATTGCTCTATGTCCCAAGAAGGTCGCTCCACCCATCATGGAAGAAAAGCCCCTCATCCCGCCGGTCATACAACGCTCCACGCCGAAAGTCACACCGTATCAGCTTCAGAAACGGTATGATGTTGTTTTTTGTTTTTGATTTTTTTTGTTTGTTTTGATATTCTTTTTACTCAGTTTTTAAGTATGTTTGTTCTTTTTCTTGTTTTATTTTAGTAGTTATTTGCACATCTCAAAATCTAAGGCTTCTATTTTACGTGATATAAAATCACGTAGTAACAATCATTAATTTCATATAAGTTTTAAAGTATTTATATTTATTTAATACTTACGGGGTTTTTGTCGTAAAATTGGAGCTTTACTCAGGTAATAATAATGTTGAATTTACTAGATTAAATAATTTGAGAAGGACAGATTTTTCAATTGCCTCATAAAAAGAATAAGTTTAAACTTTCCTACAGATGGAACACCAAAGTCAAATCATAATAGAAAGAAAAACTTATTTTTTATTGGATCTGGTAATTGAATAATCTGTCTTAAAGTTTGCGCCATCAGACTTAGGCAATTTTGTATTGGGAAAAAAATCGAGTAAAACACAGTTATTCTGGCTTAGGGTCCTGTCATAATAGAACACAATAGCGGCGTCACAAGTCGCGTCACCTGTAAAATGTACCATAGTATAAGCTTGTTTCCGCAACCAATTTGGTATATTTGGTAGCTCATGACACCACGGTGGCGTCATGGCTTGACCGGTGGCGCTGCTATGGCGTCACAATGAGATAGGGCCTCAAAGCAAGATTGCCAAAGTCAATGGGTTTGGTCTATAAACCTGTGAATCCACATGATGGTTAATGGTCATATAACGTACAGTGAGTCGGCCAGCAGATCAATGTCTGTGCCCACCGCGGCTGCACTTAAGATGGGCGTTGGTTTTCCTCTTAGCGACAACCCGGACGCTCGCCATGGAAAAGTTTTGTCTACGTCGCTTGAAGGTGAGTGGGATATATTAGTTACACCATATTTTATATGTCTTTATAAGATTTAGTTATTGGGTCACTTTATACTGCATTACAAAATTTGTAAAATCAAGAATTTGCCACTTTTGGTAAATGGAAGTTTTATTGGCGCTTCGCCTGCGATAAGTCTATTTTAATAAGCTCACAGACGCGCGTCTCGTACAAGGCAATTTCAGTGATATATTATCTAAAGTCAATTTCACCTTGGACCAACGTTAATCGTTTCTACGATTGATAGTTTGACAGCAGTAAATTTAAGTTCTTTTCATTTTGGAAAGCATCTCGTTCGCGTTCTAGTGCACAGTTACAAAAAATTACGGTTATCATTAATAATCATTAGTATTAGCGAGTTTGCGACACATTTGTACAACGATTCCCAGCGACGACAGGCGCCCTAGCGGCCCGCGAGTGCGCCGTGTGCGGCCGCAGCAGCGAGCGGCACCTCATGGCGGCCTGCGACACCTGCCGCCACCACTACCACCTGCACTGCCTGCGCCCGCCGCTGCAGCGCCCGCCCAAGAAGAGCAAGCTCTACGGCTGGTACGTACTCGATACCACAACGCGCAGTCACCCATGCATCCACAGTCTCCCCTCGACACCTGCCGCCACCACTACCACCTGCACTGCCTGCGCCCGCCGCTGCAGCGCCCGCCCAAGAAGAGCAAGCTCTACGGCTGGTACGTACTCGATACCACAACGCCCAGTCACCCACACGTCCACAGTCTCCCCTCGACACCTGCCGCCACCACTACCACCTGCACTGCCTGCGCCCGCCGCTGCAGCGCCCGCCCAAGAAGAGCAAGCTCTACGGCTGGTACGTACTCGATACCACAACGCCCAGTCACCCATAATACATCCACAGTCTCCCCTCGACACCTGCTGCCACCACTACCACCATCACTGCCTGCGCCCGCCCAAGAGGAGCAAGCTCTACGGCTGGTACGTACTCGATACCATAGAGTCTATGCCATAGACCAAGGCTGCTCAACTCCAGGTGTGGCCCGCGAAAGATTTTAAGTGGCCCGCGCAAGTATGGTTCAAAAATACGCACCAAATTAAAAAATCCCGCCACGCACAGTACAGCCCGATTAAAACTTTATGACCTCTCTGAGGTTAGCTGTCAGAAATGTAAGTGGCCCGTCGTTAACGACTGAATCCACCGTTTGGCCCGACTCTTCAAAAGGTTGAGCAGCCTTGCCATAGACAATGCCCATAGTCACACATAGATCCATAGTCTCCCCTCTATTATAGGCTGGACCTACAGGGTCTACACCTCTGCTGAAACGCAAAACTTGTTTTCGCGATTCAATATTATTTAAACCATTATTGATCCCTTGTACATTCGCTCACACATAATCGAACAAAATAGTAACCTTTTTATTTGTCACATTTTTTACGTAGGCAATGCTCCGAGTGCGACAAGACATCCGACTCCGAACCAGAAGTTTTGGAGAAAAAAGTTCCGCGTCGATCGCGAATACGGTACAGCAAAGATGGCGCCATCATCACCGAACCGCAAAGCCCCGGGTCGATCACCACGTCACCGCCCAAACCCAAGATAGAAAGGCCCCATAAGATTGAGAAAGTTGCCACCACAGAAAACATGTCTCCAATCAAAGTCACGATAAAGCCCTTCGACTTTAGCAGTGAAAACGAAGGCAGTGAATTCAAAAAGAAAGATAAAAAGATTAAGAAGTCAAAGCAAAAGGAGCACGCGTCCGCATCGGCCGGGGAAGGCGAGTCTCCATCAAAGAAATTGAAACGCAGTTTCACTTCACCGACGCTTACGAATACGCCGCTAATGTCCATCACACCGATTGTCGCAGACAGCCCCAACGATTCTCATAATGAGAACTCGAATGCTTCGACTACTCTGCTTCCGGTGAAGCGCGATGAGACCGTTCAGAATATATCCTTCTCGTCTCTTCTAAATGACGCAAAGGAGAGGGACAGTAAAGCGATTGAATCGTCAATCGAGAGCACACTCGCTAATTTGTCGTCGGACATCGCGACGTACAAAGCGAATAGGAAACGAAGGAAAGAGAAGCACAGGTCAAGGTATTCGCCAGATCTGCTGCGTTCGCCGTCGAAATCACATAAGCACAAACGGAAGAAGAAGTGTCAGGATATTGAGAACCCTGAGATGCCTCATCCAAGAATAACCATCAAGGTAAACACGTTTTAATATTTATTCAGTTAGACATTGTCTAAAACTATCACTTAAATACTGTTTTTATTTTAGATCAAGCCCATTCCTAAGCCTGATGGGTCATTAGATACCCAGATGTTCTACGTGCCAACTGACAGCAATGACGGGCCGCCACCTGCTATGATGAAAAAAATGTCAAAGGTAAATAAATAATTTGAAACTAAAATATTTCTCTGTTCCACTAATTAATAAACCATCAATGTTTGACCATTTTTTGTCAGCAGGTAGAACAAGATGTGGCCAAGCCTCCACCACCACAGCCGGAAGTCCCGTTAGAACCTATCGCAGAGGGAGACACTGCAACTCCTGTAAGTTTTTACAGCCTCTAAATTAATTTATTGTTTGCAAGTGATGAAACCAACCAAAGATGATTTTTATGCAAAACTAACTTAACATATCACTTATCGCAAGCTTGCTATAAATCCCGAGGAAAATCCAGTGGAACTTACAAAACCTAAGGTAAGAAATACCCCCCTTCCCTTTGGTAATAAAACAAAATCTAGTTGCACCATCTTACTTTATCAAAAGTAAAAATATCTGTCAATCTTCATAATATATATAAAAACACCGGTTATTGATAAAGTTACTGTTATAGTAAGTTGGTGTAACTCAGCCAATGTTATTGTTACGAACCTATTAATACTATTTAAGTCGCAAAAATCTCTCAAAATAGCTAAGTACTGAAAAGCTTCGCAAAACAAAATGTTTATTAATTCGGCGACAAATGTGGGACAGTCTAATTATTTTCACATTAATCAGCAGTTAAATAGTAATGGAAACATCAATTTAAACACATTTCCCGCATTGTTGGTTTTGCCCGTAAATAACGCTATAACGTAAAGCGTCGACATGTGCACAAACAAAAAGTAACGAATGTTGACGACATTTGCAAATGCTATGGAAATCATGTTTGCGTCAGTCGGGTATGCAAATTGATGCTGCTGCATTTTATAATGAAGCATTCATTCTGTATCAACGTTACGTTTACATAAATTCAGTAAAAACTAGCGTTTAAACTTGAAAGGCATGTAAACCATCACACAGCAAAGATACCGCCTAATGGTTAAATTAAATTCTTCGAAGGAGTTAATTGAAAGCTTGCGGGAAGTGGCTTGTGAACCGTCATGTTAGCAATTTTGTTTTATTTTCATAAACTCGTGTTTAGACGATTATTAATATGTAATAATGGTGGATTATTAACCATTAAGTGTTCGTGAACGTGCATGAGTGTGGGCAAGTGAAACAAAACAGTACAACCGTGATTGTTCGTGTCTATGACAGACAGCTTCACATCACTATCGTTCAATCTCATTCGGTCCGCGCGCGCGTTCACTCTCCCATTCACTGTATCCCCCTCTCGCCTATCAGCCACCGAACCGGCTTGACGTGCCGGCCGGCACGTTAACTCACAATTTTTATTTCAATGTAATATTGTCCAAAGTACAATAAATTCTCAAACTCAAGAATGCATTTTATTAACTAGTTCTGCGTGAACAGTTCGTATTCTCTCAAGTAGCAAAACTATTAAACAAACTTTACTGAGACTCAAATGGTGGGAAGGGGATCATCTATCATCCTTCATTATATCATTTAATTGCCCCAAGTCCCATCCCACTTGGTACCATTTTGTAAAGGTTCGGTCAAACCACAGATATGGATTAGAGTAGATACAGCAAGTTGCTAGTCAAAGCGTGCCATTCCGATATGTCCAAATGGACATACATGGTCGAGTGATGTTCATGTAATCCGATTACAACAATCGGATACGATGATTTTACGAGGACAGTAGTACGAACACGGTAGAGAGAAGAAATTATTTACGGATTGAGAATTGTAATTAACAGCAACGAGTAACAAATATGTAATTAATTAGAATAAAGTAGCAGAAGAAGAATTATAAAACAAGTTAGATCAGTGATCGCGGAAGACAGAGTGCACTGTATAACGTCGAAATATACAAATCAAGAAGTTAGGTCAGTGATCGCAGTATACACTATTACTAGTCTATGTATACCACGCCCGAGATTTTGTCGTTTAGAAATATCTTCAAAACTAGGTACCTGACTTAGCTTTATGAAAGAAAACGTATTGGCAAAACTATCTACGCCTTTTTACATTTATTAAAAATAAAAAGCTTGAGAGTAAAATAGTCTTTACTTTATTTTAAATGTCTGTACTTTACTTACTAGGATATTTAAAAGTATGGAATTAAGTATGAATTACTAGTAGTACTATTTAACATAATGGAATAACGATCATTACTTTCATAAACATTAGGCACAACAAAAATATTATTTGCAAATTAATAATGTAGAATTGTAGAATAACGTCTACCGCTACATAATTATTTTAATCCACAGTCAGACTAGCTATAAAGGAGAATGGGCAAAAAAAACCCAGGCCCGGCGCAAGTCGAATGTATCTCAAAAATAGATAATATTAAGGACATAAATAATCCATAGCAGCTTATCCAAAAATCGATGGCTAAAAGTGAGATATTGCTATTTTTTCCATAGGAGTAGTATTATTGATTTTTACAATAGATCTTTGTGGACCTGGCGATATTTTTTTGTTTTTAAAACTTGTATGCCTCAAAACATCGGTGTAAGCTGAAGCAGAATGCACAATGCCATCATCGTTGTGCAGGGCCAAGCTAAATAATATAAAATAGTTATAACATGAGTACAACTGCCTACAACAACGTTAACAGCATTGTTGTGTTCCGACAGTTAGAGGTAAGATAGCCAGTTCCTCCGTGGTTGAGGATTCCGAGTGAAGCTCGCTTTCACCTTCAGCCTAACAAGAGCTTTCTTGTTGTGGATAAAAATAATTATTCTTTAACAATAATCTTCTGTAAATTTTGTAATATGCTTTTCCGTGGCTTACACCGATGTTTTGAGGCATACAAGTTTAAAAAACAAAACAATATCGCCAGGTGCACAAAGATCCATTGTAAAAATTTATTAGTATTCCTATGGAAAAAATAGCAATATCTCATGTTTAGCCATCGATTTTTGGTCAATTTACTATGGATTAATTATCTCCTCAATATTGTCTATTTTTTTAGATACATTCGACTTGCGCCGGGCCTGGGTTTTTTTTTGTATGGGCTGTGCCCTTTAACAAAATATCAGTTTTATCGGAATTAATTAATTTTTGAATCGAGTCACACGATATCATTCGATGACTATGCGAATGCAGTACGATGATACGATTACTTTTACGTTGCGGCAATCACTAAAATTCGCTAAAATGACACTAATGACGTTTAAAAAGTGGCACGCTCGGCTTCATACAATTTTTGACACATGCTGCATCTATCCATATCTGTGGGTCAAACCAACACTGGTTTGACTGAACTTTAACTCGTCTCACTTGAATGAAACCTAAAAATGACACAAATCAAGTCTGCCTCGACATGTATTGCCAACATTAAAAAGGAAGAAGACACATCACTACTTTGACAGCCGACAAGACGTTAAAATAAATAGCGTAGCTGTCATCATGTCATAATTGACATATTTATTTTGTTTGTTTGGATTTTCGTTTCCGATTAACTTTTAGAAAACTTTTTGTGTCGTGAATTTATTTTAAATATATAACTACAATAAAGCACCTGCATGTACTTATACCTGTTATTTAATATGACTAGCTGCTAAAGTTCCTACAATAACGTTTCAAAACAATAAAACATAACCTCTGAAACCTCTGAAACGATCAATTTAATAAATAAGTTCAAATAATAATTGGTTCTGGTTAGGCTTAGCAAAGTTACAACAACAAAACACGTACTGTGCAGTTGGCAGGGATAAACTGAGGAGGTGCTTTGTGTAGTTTTTACTTATTGTTTTCGTCGTTTCGCCGCATCCAGTAATTGCTTTCGGAACTGATATGGGTTCTTACACTTACGAAGAGTATGCCGATATCATGTTTTGCTATGGGTTTAGTAATGGATGTGCTACAGGTGCGAAAAGGGAATATGTTCGTCGTTATCCTAATCGCCGGGCACCCCATATGCGAGTATTTACGGATACGTATCGTCGATTAAGAGAAACTGGTAGTGTTCATGCACGGACGCCTTGGGATAGTGGTAATACTCGAATTCATGGTCTGGATGAAGAAGATGAAGAGGAAGAACAAGAAATGCTCGATCAATTTCAACCACTGCCTACTGCATTTGTTGCTGTGAAGCCCAAAAGCCATGGACTCATTAAATTGAAGGTATAGTTTACATCGTATGCTGGGTTTCAGTCTGGTTGAAAACGGTTCATCAAAAATTGCACATGCTTCTCGTTCAATACTCAAAGTTCAAGTTAATTCTTTATTGAGGTCAAAGTGTATGTACAAACTAGGAATAAAAACTTCACGTTTATTTTTTGACCTGTTCTCTTACATAATCATAAGATGCATGAAAGAGAAATAGTTATTAGTTAGTAAAGTGGGACTATTTTCTCAGAGGAGCCGAACGAGTCGGGCCCGAAGAACTACAGGAGGCGAGACGTCGTCGCCCGCGCAAGCCATGACGCCGCTGACGCACTGCGACGTGTGCACGCAGCCCGGAGACAATACCAACCTTGTCAGGTAATTATGTCTTGACATTAGCACCAAGTCAAATGCACAACATTAATATATTTAGGGCCTTAAAGTTACACCTTAGTTGAACTCTTGGCTTATGATGTCATTTCGCATGGAAATGTCATTTTGATCCTGAGTTCATCCTAGGTGTAACTTTTTATTTAATAAGGGGGTTAGTGTTTTACACAGTCGTAAAGAAACCAGTAGCATGACTCTGCGAGTTACTATTTTTGGGTACTGACCTTAGTTTAAACCTGTATTGGGGCTCTATCTTATGGGGCATCTTAGTGTCACCATATTTTTTTATTAGGTGAAACATTTTCAACATGTGCTGTAAAGGATTAAACATATTTTTCAGAATTTAACCTATATTTATTTTTTGCAGATGTGACGAGTGCTTCAAGAGGTATCACTTTACTTGCCTGGAGCCGCCTCTCAACAAGAACCCCAAGAAACGCGGCTATTCGTGGCACTGCGCTGATTGCGATCCAACGGTTACTATTGGATATTTGATACTTGATATTAGCTCATTTTTTTTCGAATCAAAGAATATTAGCAATTTCTTGTCAAAATTTAATCTGGCAGACATTTTATTTATTATTATTATTATAGCTTTGTATTCCACATTTTTACAGTTTGATTCAATTAATCTATATCTCTTGTTTGTGGCCCCACTTGGGTAAAAGCCTCCTCCATCTTTTTCCACCTTTCCCTGTCGCTGGCTATGTGCATCCAATTTTTCCCTGCCTTGTTTGTTATGTCATCGGCCCATCTTTTCTTCGGCCGTCCTACGTTTCTTTTGCCTTTTGGGCCTTGCCATTTTGTTGTTTGATAGGTCCACCTCTTATCTTTATATCTTGCCAAATGACCTGCCCAGTTCCACTTCTGCTTTAGGCTAAATTTAAGAGCATCTGATAATTTAGTTTTCATACGGATGTCTGTGTTTCTAGTCTTTTGTATTCTTCTTAGTTTTAAGATACTTCTCTCCATTGCGTGTTGACAAGAGGAGATTTTGTTTTTTACTCTTTCCGTAAAGACCCATGTCTGGCTAGCATAAGTTAGGCTTGGGAGAATGCAGGAATCCATTATTGTCTTTTTTATATTTAAGTTATAATTCCCTTTTAAGATTTCTTTTTGTGCCCAGTATTTCTTCCATGTTACACCTATTCGTCTGTCTAGTTCGTTTTCGTTGCTGTTTGTATCGAATGACACCAATTTGCCTAGGTATACATAGTCATCTACATATTCTATAGGTTTTTCCTCTATTTTTATTGTTTTCCTAGGACTGTTTGACATGATTTTAGTTTTAGAAGCGTTCATGTGTAAGCCGATTTTTATACTTTCATAGTTCACACTTTGCAACATTTTCTCTAAGTCTGTAGCTGATTCACTGAATAGAACTATGTNGGCCGGAAATCGTTCACCGCTCTTTATTTTGTTTGGGGTTTAGTGGGTAGTTTTCAAGTGATTTTTATGTCACTGTGTTGTTGGATGATTTCTCAAATATTTCACACGCGGAATATTCTCGTTTGCGCCTGATATTCAGCGAAGATAACACTTGTGGTTAAAGTTACACCAGTTAACTATAGTTTTCAGTGGTATACGGCACTAATCGCGCACTTTAGCACTGTGTATTTACGATTGTAATCAGGAACCTCAATTTACGTTGTGAACTGTTTGACAGCCGGAAACGAAAAAAAAAAATTCTGACATTTTATTTACGATGATACAATATTTTAAAACTAGATAATATTATTATTAGATGTTCTATCGGCAACAGTGTTAACTACCCATTGCCAGTCATGTCGTCTCGTTCTATCACAAAGAATCACCATTTGATGAGAGTGAGAGCAAAAACGGAAATGGATAGTTAACAGTGTGGCCGTGTGTACATGGACGATGAATACATTCTATTTTAAAAAAAATTACAAATATATTTTTGTTACAGGATGTGGAGGAGAACAACTAAAATTGTATTAAAGGTTAATTATTATTAATCTCAAGGAAATCAATTTACTTAGAAACTAAGTAAGTGTAGTGTGAAGTGAAAT